GTTACTCTCGGGCTGGCTCCCAACAGATCTCACAGGTATGCTGTCACATGTAGCACCTTCTCTTGTGCCTGGGTCGACGCTCCAGGATGAGTCTGGCGAGATGGACTGGGATCCTGTTTCACCCAGTCCCCCGCCCTACTCTCCCTTCCCTGTCGTCGGCCTCCCTTTCCTTTTCTACCTCTTCCGCACTTTCCGCAGGAACCGCCCATAGGATCGGACGTCCGAACCAGGACGCTGATGGCCGACACACCGCGCACTCCCGCCACGGAGGAGGGCGCCTTTGACGGGCTCCAAGGGTGCTGACCGCGCCTTTTTTCTTTGCTCTGAACCCCTCCCTACAGTGGGGGTTTGTGTGTGTGTGTGCGTGCGTTTTAGTTTGCAGTTTCTTCGCAAGTTCTGGCATTAGCATCCATTCGCATGTGCAGTATAGTACGCAACACTTGAAGTTAGGAGTGCTTGAGTGAAGGCAGCAGAGTTGGTTGAGATGAGCCTCTGGGGCCCCGCTCAGATCTCCACGTCCATTGCTGGTTTGCTCCAGCTGCGTTAGCAGGCTGTTGGCTTAGGTCGGCGCTCAAACTACTATCAGGGATTGTAGTGCACACGTATGTGGGTTTACAGTCTGCGGCATGGCATGTTCGTGTTGCAGACTGTGCAGTTCTAGACAGTCAGCTAAGCAGGTGGAAAAGGAGTCGAGGGCTGTCGCCGCATGCTGCCGCCGATCTTGGTTATCCTCACGTCAATTTGCTCTTCACCATCGTGTGTGTGAGTGAGTGTGAATGTGTGTGTGTGTGTGTGTGTGTGTTTTTGTGTGTCTGTGTCTCTGTGTGTGTATTTGTGCGTCTGTGTCTGCGTCTGTGTCTGTGTATTTTTCCCGGAAGCGGCGTAGGCCCAGGGTTCTCTTTTAGATGTTTACGCCCGGTTTCGACTTGAAGGAGGTCGGCGGAATTATGTTGCGATGAATGGCGAGTTTGAAGAAGGCCGGCGGAATTATTTTTGAGGATGTCTCGAGCGAAGCGGCTGTGTTTCAGAATTTGTTGAGGATGTATCGAGCGAGACGCTGGTTTTGCAGAGTTGGGGGATTTTCCTGAGCGAAACGCCTGTTTCTCAGAATTTGTTGAGGATGCCTCGAGCGAGTCGTTGGTTTTGCAGAGTTGGGGTATCCAACGTGGCGTCGGGCCCAACGCCGAATTATGAGGGAACGCGCGGGGGGCCGAAAAGCGCTACCAGAACACATGTCCCAATACAGAAAAGTGATGGTTTTTTGCTCTGAACAGGGGGTTGCGCTTTGGGGGCCTCTCCAGGGAAGACGTTGCGAGGATGTCTCGAGCGGGAGCGCGAATTCAGCGTATCCAGGTCACGCAGGGGGTATGTAACATGGCTGTCCCGAGCTGGAACCACGTGGTTGTTCATGCTCAGGCCACCCAGGGAGATCTCGAGCATGATTGTCCCGAGCTGGAACCACGTGTTTTTCCCGGAAAGGGCGTGGGCCCATGGTTCTTTTCTAGTGGGTTAACCCCCCGGTTTTGACTTGAAGGGGGCCGGCGGAATCATTCTCTATAAAATACAAGGTAAAGTCCAATTCGGCGTGACAAAAATGCGTTTCGCGCGTGCCCGCTCGAAGAAAGTCGACCCCCCACCTCGGATCCTGACCCCCGCTTTCCTTAGTGAGAAAGAGGGTGCGGGGCATTTTTAGCAGAATCCTTTTAACAAGAACGAAGTCCGGGGCCCCGACCGCCATGCGGAAAAGCGCCCCGCGCGCAGGAATTCCGAGGATGTCTCGCGCGTGCCGCGTCCCGCGCGCAGCAATTTCGAGGATGTCTCGACTAATTCGTTTGTTCTTCCAGGATTTAGCTTGAAACTGTTGAGTTTTTGTGTGCCCGCTCGAGGATGGTGCGCCCCCCGCGCCAAACATCGACGATGTCTCGAGCGAAACGCTTGTTTGGCAAAACTTGAGGGGCGTGGGTGCCCCAGCATGCCCCAGGAGGCCCTGGGAGCGCGGACGCGGTGTGATTTACGAGGGATCGTAGCCCTTGGAGCTCGGACCACGCGCAATGTGCGAGGGATCGTAGCCCCCGGAGCACGGGCGCAGTGTAATTTACGAGGGGTCGGGGCCTTGGGAGCTCGGACGCAATGTAATTTACGAGGGATCGTAGCCGTTGGAGCGCGGGCGCAGCGTAAAATATGAGGGATCGGGGCCCTGGGGGCTCGGACGCAGCGTGATTTACGAGGGATCGTGGCCCTGAGAGCGCGGACGAAGCGTTATTTACAAGGGGTCGGGGCCCTGGGAGCGCGACCCGTGGCACGTCCATTGGCACGTTCCGTAGCGCGTCCCCATGGCACGTCCGGCAGTGCGTTCCGATGGCGCGTCCCTTGGCACGTCGCCTGGCGCGTCCCTTGGGACGGTCCGCGGCGCGTGTTCCTGGCATGTGCCCTTGTCAATTAGCCCTGGGGCAGCTACTATGTGCTCAGGCAGCTCGAGCTTAAGATCCAGATCAGTTCGGTCAGGACTCGGATGTAACGGAGGACTCGATCCACAACACTATAGAGCACAATCGCGGCATGGCACATCGCAGTTCAGCACGGCTCAGCACAGCACAGCCTTCGGCACGGTACTTCAAGATCGATACACTCAGCATTACAATTTGGCACGTTCCTTGGCACGTTCCGTGGCGCGTTCCGTGGCGAGTCCCCCTGGCACGTCGCGCGGCGCGTCCCGTGGCACGTCCCGTGGTACGTCCATTGGCACGTTTTGTAGCGCGTCCCCTTGGCACGTCCCGCGGTGGGTGCGTCCCCATGGCGCGTTCCTTGGCACGTCGCCTGGCGCGTCCCTTGGGACGTTCCGCGGCGTGTCCTCCTAGCATGTCTCCTTGCCAATCAGCTCTAGGGCAGCTACTATATGCTGAGGCAGCTCGAGCTTACGACCCAGATCAGTTCGGTCAGGACTCGGATCCACAACGCTATAGAGCACACTCTCGTCATGGCACGTCGCAGTTCAGCACGGCGCAGCACAGCACAGCCCTCGGCACAGTACATCAAGATCGATATGTTCATCATTGCATTTGCCCGTCGCCCAATCAGGTGTCTTTGAAACGTTGACATGTCTTACATTTCTATATTCCTTTCCGGGTTCGTGGGTCGATCATGTTACGTGTCCAAGCCTCCCAGGGGGTATCTAACATGGTTGTCCCTAGGTGGCACAGTGTTTTTACGTGTCCAGGCCACCAACACGACGCTTGTCCCCAGCACATTCTGTAGCGCGTCCCCTTGGCACGTCCCGCGGTGCGTCCCCGTGGCACGTCCCCTGGCACGTCGCCTGGCGCCTCCCTTGGAACGTTCCGCGGCGCGTCTTCCTGGCATGTTTCCTTGTCAATTAGCCCTGGGGCAGCTACTATGTGGACTATGTGCTCAGGCAGCTCGAGCTTAAGATCCAGATCAGTTCGGTCAGGACTCGGATGTAACGGAGGACTCGATCCACAACACTATAGAGCACAATCGCGGCATGGCACATCGCAGTTCAGCACAGCGCAGCGCAACACTACCCTCGGCACGGTACATCAAGATCGATACACTCACTCAGCATTGCAATTTGGCACGTTCCTTGGCACGTCCCGTGGCGCGTCCTGTGGCGAGTCCCCCTGGCACGTCGCGCGGCGCGTCCCCTGGCACGTCCCGTGAAACGTCCATTGGCACGTTCCGTAGCGCGTCCCTTTGGCACGACCCGCGGTGGGTGCGTCCCCATGGCGCGTTCCTTTTCACGTCGCCTGGCGCGTCCCTTGGGACGTTCCGCGGCGTGTCCTCCTAGCATGTCTCCTTGCCAATCAGCTCTAGGGCAGCTACTATGTGCTGAGGCAGCTCGAGCTTAAGATCCAGGTCAGTTCGGTCAGGACTCGGATGCAAAGGAGGACTCGATGCACAACGCTGTAGAGCACAATCGCGGCATGGCACATCGCAGTTCAGCACGGCTCAGCACAGCACAGCCTTCGGCGCGGTGCATCAAGATCGAATACACTCAGCATTGCAACTTGGCACGTTTCTTGGCACGTTCCGTGGTGCGTCCCGTGGCGAGTCCCCCTGGCACGTCGCGCGGCGCGTCCCCTGGCACGTCCCGTGGCACGTCAATTGGCACGATCCGTAGCACGTCCCTTTGGCACGTCCCGCGGTGCGTCCCCATGGCACGTCCTCTGGCGCGTCGCCTGGCGCGTCCCTTGGAACGTTCCGCGGCGCATGTTCTCCTGTCAAGCAGCTCTTGGGCAGCTACTATCTATGTGCTCAGGCAGCTCGAGCTTAAGATCCAGATCAGTTCGGTCAGGACTCGGATGTAACGGAGGACTCGATGCACAACGCTATAGAGCACAATCGCGGCATGGCACATCGCAATTCAGCACAGCGCTGCACAGCACAGCCCTCGGCACAGTACATCAAGATCGATAAATTCAGCATTGCATTTGCTCATCGCCCAATCAGGTGTCTTTGAAACGTTACCATGTCTTACATTTCTATATTCCTTTCCGGGTTCGTGGGTCGATCATGTTGTGTGTGTGTGTCTGTGTCTGTGTCTGTGTCTGTGTCTGTGTCTGTGTCTGTGTCTGTGTCGGTGTGTGTGCGTATGTGTGTCTGTGTGTGTGTGGTGTGTGTGCGCGTGTGCGTGTGCGTGCGTGCGTGCGTGTGTGTGTGCGCGTGTGTGCGCGTGTGTGCGCGCGTGGCGTCTGTGAGTAGCATTTCCATTTGTTGCTCGCGCCTGAGGATTCTCTGCGCCGCCGACTCAAAACAGTGTGTGTGTGTGGGTGTCGGATGTTTTCTGCGGTTTTCGGAGGGCTTGGCGATCTGAGGACGTTTGCGGATTTCAGGAGGAGGGGGAGGAGGCGGAGGGAGCCGGAGGACATGGGTAAACCCCAGATCCATCAACGAATTTGGAACAAACCCTCACGCCAAGCTCCCTCTTGCCACGTCGCCTGGACGTGACGAGGCTTGACTGTGTGTTCTCAGGCGCGCGTGGACAGGTCGGGCCTCACTCCAAATACCTGTTCGTCCGCGTTGGAGGCCGCTGGCAGCGGCTGGCTCTCAGAGGTTCGCCTCGCTTGCCAACGGAGCCAGGCCTCCCCACCCCCGTGTCCCCATGGCCGCTTCTGGAAGTCTTCGCAAAAATCAGCGACACAAGTATCACCTTTTGGATGTTCGCGCGGATTTCTTGGGTTGGCGCTGGACCCCCCAGGCAGCGCCTCCAGCGCCGACCATGCCGCGCCTCGCGCGCCAGAGGAGGGACGGTCCAGCGCCGATCCAACAACCTTGGGCGGATGTTCGAGCATTAGTTTTATGTCGTTGCTTGTTGCTCCTCCTGAACGGATCGTAACATTATTTCGTCCTGTCCTTGTCAGCCTCCAGGTGCTCTTTCCCTGATGCGTCGGGGAAGGCAGCCACTGGGAAAGGGGTCGAAGACTTCTGCCCCACGTCGCAAAAAGTAATGCCCCACGTCTGGGCCATGAGGTCTCGCCGAGTTCATGGTCCTCTCTCTTCTTTCCATGCGTTCCCTGGCCACCCCTCGTCCGCGGGCCGTGGTGCGCTAACCCCGGTCTTCTTGGCCCCCCTATTCGGCGCACCCGACTAGGGAGGGAGGGTGGAGGGAGGAGCGAGGAGGGCGGAGCCAGTGGGGGGGGGGGGGGGGCACTCCTGAAGGGCTGTCGCCACCACCGCTGCAGCCGCCCTGAAATCCTGACCCGAGTGTGCTCTGGGACAGCTCCAGGGGCCGACTCACTCGTGGCGACCCCGACCTCTGGGCGCCGCGGACCCACCGTGGCGGGTGTTTTTCCCCGAAAGGGCGCGGGCCCAAGGTTCACTTTTACTTGGTCAACCCCCCGGCCCCTACGGGAAGAGGGCCGGCGGACTTATTTGCGATAATTAACGACGTCGAAGAGGGCCGGCGGAATTATGTTTGAGGATGTCTCGAGCGGAACGCTTGTTTTTCCGAATTTGTTGGGGATGTCTCGAGCGAAACGCTGGTTTTGCAGAGTTGGGGTATGTCTCGAGCGGAGGCCTCGTGGGGGGCCAGAATTCAGAGGATGTCTCAGGCGACGTGCTTGTTCTCACGTGCCCAGGTCGGCCAGGGGGGTAATTATCCAATATGGTTGTCCGTCGCTGGCGCCTCAGACGACCGCATGTTGGATATCCCCCCCCTGGGTGGGCTGGAACCGTGAGTTTTTACGTGTGCAGGCCATCAGGGGGGTATCTAACATGATGGTCCCGAGCTGGAATCACGTGTTTTCATGTGTCCAGCCCACCCAGGGGTGTACCTAACATGGTTGCCCAGAGCTGGCACCCACGTTTTTACATGTCCAGGCCGCCCAGGGGGGTTATCTAACATGGTTTTCCCGAGCTGGCACCACGTGTTAGTGTGCAGGTCACCCAGGAGGGGTATCTAACATGGTGGTCCTGCGCTGGAAACATGCGTTTTTACAAACCAGGCCACCCAGGGGTGCATCTAACATGGTTGCCCAGAGGTGGCACCATGTGTTTTTACGTGTCCAGGTCGCCTAGGGGGGTATCGAACATGATTGTCCCGAAATGGAACCATGTGCTTTTACGTGTCCAGGCCGCCCAGGGTGGATATCCAACATGGCGTCGGGCCCAACGCCGAATTACCAGAAAACGCACGGGAGGCCGAAAAGCGCTTCCCGAACACATATCCCAGTGATGTTTTCTTGCTCTGTACAGGGGGTGGCGCTTTGGGGGCCTCTCCAGGTAAGACATTCCGAGGACGTCTCGAGCGGGAGCGCGAATTCAGCGTATCCAGGCCACGCAGAGGTGTCTCTAACATGGTGGTCCCGAGCTGGAACCACGTGTTTTAACATGTCCTGGCCACCCAGGGGGGTATCCAACATGATTGTCCCGAGCAAAGACCACGTGTTTTTACGTGTCCAGGCCGCCCAGGGAGGGTATCTGACATGGTTGTCCCGAGCAAGGACCACGTGTTTTCAAGTGTCCAGGCCACCCAGGGGTGTATCTAACATGGTTGCCCAGAGCTGGCACCCACGTTTTTACGTGTCCAGGCCGCCCAGGAGGGTATCTATCATGGTTGTCCCGAGCTGGCACCACGTGCTTTCAAGTGTAAAAGAGCGTGTTCTACCGCTGCTGGCGGAAAAACGGGGGGGGTCACTGGGGGTTCTCAACCCGTCCCCCCCCACCCCCCGCCTTCGAAAACCTTGGGGGGGTCACTACCAGTTCGAACCCCTCCCCCCCCCCCCCGCCAGTTTATCATGAAAATGGGGGGGGTCACTACCCGTTCGAACCCCCCCCCTCGAAAACGGGGGGGGGGGTCACCACTGGCTCGAGCCTCTCCCCTCGAAAACCGGGGGGGGTCACTACCGGTTCGAACTCCCTCCCCCCCCACCCCCTCGCCGCCGGCCAACGAATCCCGCTCCTCGGGACAGTTGGACAATGGTAGGGATGCTGGGACAGTGGTGGGAACGGTGGTGGTGGGGACAGTGGTGCGGGGACAGTGGTGCGGGGACACTGGGACAGTGGTGCGGACAGTGGTGGGGACGGTGGTGGTGGGGACAGTGGTGAGGGGACAGCGGGATAGTGGTGGGGATAGTGGGACAGTGGTGGGGACGGTAGTGGTGGGGACAGCGGTGAAGGCGGTGGTGAGGACAGTGGTGGGACAGTAGTACAGTGGGCAAAGTGGTGGGGACAGTGGGGACAGTGGGAATGTGATGGGGACAGTGGGGACGGTGGGACAGCACAGTGGGACAGCGGCGTCGCCAGTGGGACACTGGTGGGTACAGTGGGGACAGGGGGACAGTGGTGGGGACCGTGGGAAAAGTGGGGAGAGTCGGACCGTGGTGGGACAATGGTGGGGAGAGTGGGGACAGTGAGACACTGGTGGGGGCACTGGTGGGGACAGTGGGGACAATGGCGGGAACCGTGAGGACAGTGGGACAGTGGTGGGGACGGGGGTGGTGGGGACAGTGGTGTGGGGACAGCGGGAATGTGGTGGAAACAGTGGGACAGTGGAGGGTACAATGGTGGTGGGGACAGTGGTGAGGGCGGTGGCGAGGACGGCGGTGGGATAATGGGACAGAGGTGCAGTGGGGACGGGTGGGGACAGTGGGGACAGTGGTGGGAACAGTGGGACAGCTCAGTGGGGCAGCGGCGGGGACAGTGGGACAGTGGTTGGGGCCGTGGAGAAAGTGGGGAGAGTGGAACAGTGGTGGGAACAGTGGTGGGGACAGTGATGACAGTGCGACAGTGGTGGGGGCACTGGTGGGGACAGTGGGGACGGTGGTGGGAACAGTGGGGACAGTGGTGGTGAGGACAGTGGTGCTGGGGACAGCAGTGGGGGATGCGGTGCGGACGGTGGTAGGGACTCGGGAGTCGTTTGCTGGCGGTGAGCGTGGGGGGGGAGGGGTTCGAACCGGTAGTAATCCCCCCCCGGTTTTCGAAGTGGGGTGGGGGGGGTCGGAGAGGGGGGGGGGGCGGGGGAAAGGGGGGGGGTCCAGCAGGGGGGTCTGGGATTTTCGGAGGGGGGGTGACCCCCGGGCTCCGGAGAAAAAGGGGGAGAATTGTTGACGCTTGGGGCCCTCTTGGAGCACCCTTGGGAGCCTTGGGGGCCATCTTTGGGCCATCTTGGGTGATATCGATCACAGGAGGGGAGGTTCCTAATCAGGGTCCCCCCCTCAGGAGGCCAAAATGGGGCCAAAACCTTGGTAAGACAAGTGATTTTGTCTTCCTCTCCGAAGCCGTTTTGGACGCTCCGACGACTCGCGGAACCCCTTGTACAGGTCCATGGGGAGGGGGTAGGGGGAGGACCCGTCCCCGAAGGGGAAGAAGGAGGGGTGGAAGAGGAAACTCCCTGACCGACGCCCAGAGGGCTGGTGGGATTTTCCGCAGTAGAGCGGCGGTGGATCACGCTCTGTCTCAAGTGTCCAGGCCACCCAGGGGGGAATCCAACATGGTGGTCCTGTGCTGGAGCCATGTGTTTTTCATGTCCAGGCCGCCCAAGGGGGATATCCAACATGGCGTCGGAATTATCAGGAAACGCACAGGGTGGCCGAAAAACGCTACCCGAACACATGTCCCACTACAGAAAAGTGCTGTTTTCTTGCTCTGAACAGGGGGTTGCGCATTGGGGGCCTCTCCAGGGAAGACATTGCGAGGATGTCTCGGGCGGGGGCGCGAATTCAGCGTATCCAATCTAACATGGTTGTCCCGAGCTGGCATCACGTGTTTTGTCGTGTCACGGTGCGTCCCCGTGGCACGTCCCCTGGCACGTCGCCTGGCGCGTCCCTTAGAACATTCCGCGGCGCGTCTTCTTGGCATGTTCCCCTGTCAATTAGCTCTGGGGCAGCTACTATGTGGACTATGTGCTCAGGCAGCGCTAGCTTAAGATCCAGATCAGTTCGGTCAGGACTCGTATGCAACGGAGGACCCGATCCACAACATTATAGAGCACAAACTCGGCATGGCACATCGCAGTTCAGCGCGGCGCAGCACAGCGCAGCCCTCGGCACGGTACATCAAGATCGATACGCTCACTCAGCATTGCAACCTGGCACGTTCCGTGGCGCGTCCTGTGGCGAGTCCACCTGGCACGTCGCGCGGCGCGTCCCTTGGCACGTCCCGTGGCACGTCCATTGGCACGTTCCGTAGCGCGTTCCCTTGGCACGTCCCGTGGCGCGTCCCCATGGCACGTCCCCTGGCACGTCGCCTGGCGTGTCCCTTGGGACGTTCCGCGGCGCGTCCTCCTGGCACGTCCTCCTGTCAATTAGCTCTGGGGCAGCTTCTATGTGCTCAGGCAGCTCGAGCTTAAGATCCAGATCAGTTCGGTCAGTACTCGGATGCAAAGGAGGACTCGATCCATAACACTACAGAGCACAATCGCGGCATGGCACATCGCAGTTCAGCACGGTGCAGCACATCACAGCCCTCGGCACGGTACATCAAGATCGATACACTCAGCATTGCAACCTGGCACGTTCCCTGGCACGTCCCGTGACGAGTCCCTCTGGCACGCCGCACGGCGCGTCTTCTTGGCATGTTCCCTTGTCAATTAGTTCTGGGGCAGCTACTATGTAGACT